CTGTAAGCGAGTCGACCGGGTGGATGCCGCAGCCAGCTCTTTGCAGCAACCAGCATCGGCAGCCGTCGGCGAGCCAGGGGGCTCCCGCCGCGCCCCGCGCCCTCCGAGGTCATGCGAGTGTTCGGGAGCCTCTACGACCTGTTCGCGAGCCTCGAGGTGGACGAGGGCGCCTGCCTGCTCTCCCCGCAGGCGCCCCCGTGGGCCAGAGCAGCACCCCCTCCTCCTCCTCCTCCTCCTCCTCCTCCTCCTATCAATCCTGCTCCTCCTCCTCCTCCTCCTCCTCCTGGGTGGGTCCAGGCGCCGGGGTCGAGGCGACCGCGGCCCCCGCGGTTCTGTTCTTTTGGTCTCTAGAGCTGAGGTGCGGATTCATGGGGATGGTTGGGGGGGGGCGTTCGTGTCGAACTGTCAGGGGTGGAAGTCTTGGATCTGTGGGAGACTGCGGGCTGCCGCGACAGCATCTGCCGAGGATGTCTCCAGTGATCCAGCACGAGAGTCCCTCAGGGGCACCCCGGGCGCCCGAGGTCGCCCCGCGCCCCCCTGCCCCCCCCCCCTCCCCCGCGAGGCCCCGCGAGGCCCCGCGAGGCTCCCCCCCGAGAGCCGTTCTCGAGGCCCGCCGGGGCGCCCGCGGCCAGCCCCACCCCCTCCAGGAGCTGGCAACTGGCACTCATGCCTTAAAGTCGGGCACGTCCCTCTACAGGAGGAAAAGAAAAGAACAGTCCAACAAAAGCATGGGGACGTTTTTGTTTTTTGTTGTTGTTATTTTTGTTTTTTGTTGATTTTTGGGGTATTTTTGAGATTTTTTCTAGTACTTTTTCTTTTCGTCCTAAATTCCTTGTAGGAGGACGTGCCCGACTTAACCCATGTCTCGCGGATCGGCCACGGAATGAATTGATTTGCCCCAGAAGGGTTTCTCTCCGTCGAAGCTGCGACGACTTATTATAGGCCTCCCAGATGGGGTACGAGTGGATGGGGTCGGAGGATCGCGCCGCATCGCGGATGCATCGCCGATGCGGCTCGATGTGGAGCCCGTGCTACCCCACGCCGACGTCGCCGATGCACCGCCGACGCTGCCGATGCATCGCTGATGCATCGTGCATCGGCGATGCGGCGCCACCCTTCGACTCCACCTAGTTACTCCGACCCCATCTAGGAGGCCTCTACATACCCAGAGTGCTCCGGAGATCTGCGGGGCATATTCTGGGCATATTCTGCGCAGATTCGACGAGCCCGTCCGTTTTCGGGCAGGGCGATCCTGTATCCGATCCCCAGCTTCGAAGGCTTCTCGCGGTGGGAGTTCAGCCGGAGGGGCCCCAGCTCGAACGGGGGAGGTGCCCCTCGGGGCCGGCGACCCGCGCTCACACCCGCAGCGGTCCTTTGTCAGAAGGCAAAAACCCGCCCCCACCCCCAGCCCCGACGCCCATCCCCGAGCCGGCTGTTCGAGGGGTCGGGACGGGGGGTCGGGGGTGGGTTTCCGGGGTCGTGGGCCCCGACAACCCACCCCCGACCCCCCGTCCCGACTCCCCGAATCGCAGGTTCGGGGATGGGCGTCGGGTCTGGGGGGGTGGGGGTGGGTTTTCGCCCTCTCTCGGGTCGGGCGAAAGGGGGGCATTGCGAAAGGGGGGGTTACGAAATTTGCTGCATGCAGCTGGTTTCGGCCTCACCGAGGGGCCCATTCCTCGACACATAGCCGCCTCCGGCGCCGGGAGGCGCCGGGACAATCAGCTACGTGAGCTGATTCTCAACCCCCCCCTTTGCTATCCCCCCCTTTCGCCCGACCCGATTCTCACTCTTGTTGTCCCTCCCCCGTTTGGCACCGCTGTGGGCGTGAGCGCGTGCTGCTCCTCTGCGGCCACTGGCGCCGAGATGTGAGGGCCCCTCTGGGCTCGGGAGGGGCTCGGGCTCTCGGGCCGCGCCTCCGATCCGGGTCGGGGGGGGGTCCCTTCGTGGCCGCGGCTCGACGACGGCGTGGCCCGAGAAGGCCTCTTCCGCTCCTCTTGCCGAGCGCGCTCCACAGCTCAGTGCCTACTCGCAAACGTCCGACAAAAAACACGCGTCTGCTCCGATGTCATTCATCGCAGATCCCCGCGGCGGGTCCAGGCCATGTGCGAGCACTTACTCTGCGAGTAGTGGAGCGCGCTCGTCTATCCTCGCTCCGCGCTCCTTCTCTGTGGCAGCACGGTGGCCGTGCCCCCCTCTCGTGTCGTCTGGCCAGGTCCTCGACGCGGAGACGCAGGCCAAGATCAACATGGAGAGGCTCGCGGCGCGCCACCGGCGGGTCGTGGGCCTGCTTCGCGAGCTCCTGCCCTGCAAGTGAAACTCTGCGGGGCGCGGCGTGGTGCCGGGGGGCGGCGGCTGCGCGAGAGCTGCGAGGAGCGTCCTTCGGGAGCGGGCAGCGGGGAAAAAGGGGGGGGGAGGAGGGGAAGAAGGGGGGAAACGGGGAGATGAGGGAGAGCGAGGGGAAGGGGTGGTGGTGTTGGTGGTGGTGGTGGGGGAATAGGGGGAGGAAAGAGGAGGTAGGGGAGATGGGGAGAGGGAGGATGGAGGGAGGGAGGGGGCAGACGGGAGCGGCCAGGGATTCGAAGGGAGGGGGGAGGGGCGGAGGTAGGATGGAATTGCGTGTGGTAGAGGGAAGGTGGGGGGGAGGGAGGGAGGAGAGAAGGGGGGAGGGGGAAGGGGGTGGAGAGGGGGGGAGAACAAGCTAGGTGTGCTCTAGCCAAATCTGACATCCTACCCCTTCCAATCATCCCTTCCCGCTGCGCTTTTTCATCCGCCGACGGGCGTCATAGCGGACCTGGAATCCTCAACAGGACAGCATCGTGTTATGCGCAATCGAAACTTGAGGGGAGCTGTGTGCATTGGAGGAGAGGGGCGCATGAAACTGGAGGATGAGCAGGAGGCAGAGGAGAAGGAGGAGGAGGAGGAGGAGGAGGCGGAGGAGGAGGAGGAGGAGGAGGACGACGGAGGATGACGATGAGGAGCAGCAGCAGCAGGAGCAGCAGAGGAGGACCAGGGGAAGGCGGAGGACGGGAAAGGAGCGGGGAGATACCGATGAGGAAGGACTCGGACCCAGAAAAGTGGTACGCTCCGGGGCGAGAGCGCCATTCTGGACGACGGCGGCAAAGCGCCGATCCTGCATTGAGGAGCACGCTGCAGCGTGAGCACCACCTCGAATTACTCGAGATGCTCCGATCGAAACAGCCGCGCAACGTATCTGCTTTGGACTTCCGCGGTGCGGCAGATGATGCGCGGCGAGGGCGGACCATTGCCACGACGCACTGCCGGGAAGAAGGTGTGCCGCCCAGAGCGGGGACCGCCTGAGCAGTCCAAAGCGCCTTTAGGAGACGCTTGCAAGGACGCTTCCAAGGATGCCTGGGAGCCTGCAAGCTTGAGAACGGAGCTTCGCGGGAGCTACCGAAGCGCTTCAGATCAGCTGAGGAAGGCCTACGGCAAACGCATGGGGAGCGAGCAGGGACGCGTTTGAGACGCGCTGCAGCTTCAAGCAACCCGCTGCGGGGATCCCTGCCCTCGGAGCCCTCAAAGAGCTATCTGGGAAGAAGCAACGGCGCACTGCCAGGAGACAGGAGAGCAATATTCAGGCCGAGTGGTTGTACAGTCGGGGCCCTGAAGAAGGAACCCTTTTCGTTGGGGAGGGGCTCCGTGTTCCTTAATTGTTTCGCAGCTTGCCTTGGATCTTCCTTAGGTTTTCGATACGGAATCGAAATTCAACTTATGGAAAATAGGGGCCTCGTTCCTTATTTAGGGTTCCTTAGGTCAACGCCCCGACTGTAGCGAGGGGGGGATGGAGGGAGGGAGGCGGAAAAGGCGGATGGGCGTGGTGGGAGGCCGGCGGGTGGGGAGGCGGGCGAGGACGGGGAGGGGGGCACGGACGGAGGGGGGAGGGAGGTTTCCTCCTCCTCCTCCTCCTCCTCCTCCTCCTCCTCCTCCTCCTCAGGAGGGATGGGGATGGGAGTGAGGGGGGAGGGGATGTGTGGAGGCGTGAGGCCAGAGGGGAAGAAGGGAGGACGGGGTGCTCACGACGGTGGTGATGATGGTGGTGGTGGTGGCTGTGGTGGTGATGGTGGTGGTGATGGTGATGATGGCGTTGATGTTGTGGTGGTGATCATGATGATGCTTGTGATGACGATGCTGCATACGATGTCGATCGTGGTGGTGGTGATGATGGTGGTGACGGTGGTGATGCTGCTGATGCTGATGCTGATGCTGCTCCTGCTGCTGATGATGATGATGAGGATGATGATGATGACCATTCTGATGATGATGACTGTGATGATGATACTGATGATGACGATGCTGATGCTGCTGATGATGATGATGATGATGGTGGTGGTGGTGGTGGTGACGGTGCTGCTGCGGACGATGATGCTGCTGATGATGATGACGCTGATGCTGATGCTGATGATGCTGCTGATGATGACCGTGCTGCTGATGAGGATGAGGATGCTGATGCTGATGCTGCTGATGATGACGATGCTGCTGATAATGATGCTGTTGCTGCTGATGATGAGATGATGATGATGATGATGATGATGATGATGATGATGATGATGATGATGATGATGATGATGATGATGATGATGATGATGATGATGATGATGATGATGATGATGATGATGATGATGATGATGATGATGATGATGATGATGATGATGATGATGTGATGATGATGATGATGATGATGATGATGATGATGATGATGATGATGATGATGATGATGATGGCGACGATGATGATTGGTGGTGGTGACGATGATGCTGATTCTGATGCTGATTGATGGTGGTGGTGATGATGGTGATGATGCTGATGCTGATGCTGCCGAGGACGATGATGCTGATGACGCTGACGATGATGATGATGACGATGCTGCTGATGATGACGATGCTGCTGATGCTGCTGATGATGATGGTGATGATGACGATGCTGATGATTATGACGATGATGCTGATGCTGATGCTGCTACTGCTGATGCCGATTGATGCTGATGATGATGCTGCTGACGATGGTGATGATGTTGATGATGATGACGATTCTGATGTCGATTATGATGATGCTGCTGCTGATGATGATGATGATGATGCTGCTGCTGCTGATGATGATGATGATGATGATGATGATGTCGCTGCTGATGCTGCTGCTGCTGATGGTGAGGATTGTTCTCATTATTCTTCTTCTTCGTCTTCTTCTTCTTACTATCCAGAGGCGTCTGCCGCGCGATTCCGCGACCGCGCTTGGGGGGAGCCTGGGGGGATATAATCCATTGAACGTCCTTCCCCTACCCTCGTATTTGGGCACATTTTCTGCCTTCAAGGCCAAAGACGCAAGGACTTGGTCATGAACATTAGTGCATCTTGGGATCGATTCGTCGGGGGGGGGCTATTTATTGTTTCGCAAGGAGCGAGAGGGCTCGATACACACCTACCGCGGCAAGCGCGGTTGCGGACTATTATCATTTTTCGTCTTCTGATTCTTTTTATTTTTATGCTCTTTTATGTTTAGTTTGATTTTTTTCAAATTGATTATATTTTTGTTTTGCCTTTCCTCTCCTTCGTATTCGGATGGCGACGATGACGATGACGATGACGATGCTGATGATGCTGATGCTGCTGCTGATGATGATGATGATGCTGATTTTGATGATGATGATGATGATGATGATGATGATGATGGTGGTGGTGGTGGTGGTGGTGACGATGATGATGATGATGCTGATGATGACGATGATGATGATGATGGTGGTTGTGGTGATGATGTTGTTGATGATGATGATGATGATGCTGATGGTGACGATGGTGACGATGATGATGCTGGTGATGATGGTGACGATGATGATGCTGGTGATGATTTCGGTTGTGATGATGGTGGTGGTGATGTATTCTGATGATCATGCGGCTCATGCTGCTGACGAGATGGCGATGGCGATGACGACAATGCTGCTGCTGCTGCCGTGGAGGAGGAGGAGGAGGAGGAGGAGGAGGTGGAGGAGGAGGAGGAGCAGGTGGAGGAGGAGGAGGAGGAGGAGGAGGAGGAGGAGAAGGACGATGGTGAGGCGGAAGAGGAGGCTGAGGAGTTGAAGGAGAAGGAGCTTGAGTTGGAGACGGAGGACGATTTGTGGAGCGGCGCGGTCGCTCCGAAGCGTCTCGTGGGCACGTGGGACGCTGGCGTTTGCTGGCCGCCACGCGAGGCGCTGGCCGGGCGGGGTAGAATTTGAATGGCCGTGGGCATCCTCCGTGATTGGGATATGCTGCCCACCACTTGCTCGGACCCTCGATCCTGCCAGGAAGGACCTTCGGCGGGCTGTTTTTCCAGTCCTGGGGTTTTCCTCCTCGATCTCGGCCTCCAGGTTTCGTCGCCAGGCCGTGGGCCATCATAATACGGTCTGGGGCAAAACTGGGGCTTTCCTCGATCTCGGCCTCCAGGGTTCGTCGCCGGGCGGTGGGGCCATCATAATACGGTCTGGGACAAATCTGGGCCCCCTTCAGACCCAGACGCCGTGGCAGCAATCGCGACGGGCCTTCCTGCCCTGTGGGGTCGCCAGGGGGCAAGCCCGACAACGGGGGCGCACGTAGGCTGAGGGGGAAGGACCGCACCGTGGCATGTCGAGCCAAAGAGGAGGGAAGATGAGGGCGGGGTGTGGGGGGGATGCTGGATGGGGGAGGAAGATGAAGCGGGAGAGGGAAGAGGGGAGAGGGGTATGGGGGAGGGAAGGATTATGAGGAGGAGAATGGATTTTGTCAGAAGTCTTGAGGCCTTTTTGGGCCTCTGGAGATCTGCGGAGACTTGTGGGGGTGGACTTGATTTGCGAATGGCCATCCTGCGGGTACCCTCGGTCCGTCAACATATGCCTAAGGTTGGGAACATGAGCAGCAGTAAGAGCATGAGGGATGATAGGGCAGGAGGGGAGGGGGGGGGCCTTTGGACCCCAGTGTGTGTTAGATAAGCCACGATGCGTATAGACTGCTGGGAACGCGACTGGGAAATTGTGCCCTATTGCGTTTCTAGACATTCGGAGGGGAGGGGTAAGGAAGTTAGCGCGAGTGTGGATAGGGGTGCGGGTGATGTGGAGGGTCGGAGGATGTGGAGGGAGGCGGACACCTGCTACTCGTCCAGCTGGATGGCCCTCTCCGAGATCAGGGGTATGAGCTTGGTTGGTGGCATATCTCGATCGAGGGCATGCGGAGTCCATGCCATTGTTGTTATGTGTCTCACCGTCCTCTGCGCCTCCTCTTCTTCTCGTCGTCCTCTACTGGTCCTCGCCATCCTCCGTCTCCTCTCCTGCCCTCTTCTGGCCCTCCTGCGCCCGCCCCGTCTTCTTGCCGTTTCCTCCTGTGCATGGATCAGTGCTCATCTTCCAACTGCAGCCCGAGCGCGTGCCGGGCTTCCGCCCTGTACATAGCGAGCTTTGAGTGGTGTGGGCACTCCTCACTGTCAGAGACGAATTCTCCCCGCGCACGCCCCGTGCCCACAGTCGGCCCGCACAGTAAG